AAAGAGGAATTCTAGAGCCCGTTCCAGAGTGAAGGTCGACCCGTCGATAATTTCTGACATCTGTAATTACTAACCACCACTCGCCGTCCACCGTTATTCATCATTACTCTTCACCTCATGCCGCTTTCGACCATCGACCGTCGGTGACTCCTGTTGTAGCTTATAACACTCATATTGAAGATCCGACAACAAATTTCTGCCTTCGTAACTGTCAACCACCGTTAACCACCGTCAAACGTGTTGTGGCTTATCGCCACGGGCAATCACTACTTACAACAGTTATAGCTAGCGTATAACAATTATTTTTAACACATGTATTTCTCTTTATGTTGTAGACCGACAAGAATTTAAGCTGCCATAATCATTAATGTTTTAATTTTGATTTAAGCTTTTAAACTCATATAAATGTTAATTTATTGAAGCTTAATAAATTAAAATAATTGAAATTATTTCATGAATTAAGTTTAATTGGATTTAATTGGATTTAAGTCAGACTTCACAAGCTTCTTGCCCAAAATTTACTAGTAAAGTTTAATTCTAGTTGCATGCACATGAACTGAGACCATTCTAAACTCCCCCGAATTGTTTTATCTCTCCGAAATTTACATACATATCTCTCAATTCCTATGTATTTACGTATCTAACACCCATTCTTCAATTCTTATATACATAGTGTTGTGAAAAACGACGACAACAAAGCGAAAAATGAAAAGATAAAAATTGTACAGGGAAAAACATCATAGCGACACATAGATTTATGTGGTTCGGCAAATTTGCTTACGTCCACGGAGCTGCAAAGGTTTTATTTCTTCGAGGAATTACACCGTCGAGCTCTTCGACGTTTACAAGAAAATCTCTATTTTCATCTCTCCCTTCCTCTCTCTTTTTCTCTTACTCTTTTTCTTTCTTAGAGGACTTGGCTTGACGCTTTGCTTGGCTTTTTTATGACAAATCATAAGAGGTTATTTATAGAAACCACAAGAGCGGTAGGTGAGATTCTTAATTAGAAAGCTAATTAATAATATATAATTAAATTGCGGTGGACCGGATCTCCACATTAC